ATTTGCAAAAGTATTGACAGTGACATCAGGTTTTCACAATTACACATTAACAATCGCGTTCCGTAATACAGAACTCCGAGTAAAAGAAAGTGTTGCCTGGCAATCGCATACATAGCATGAAACATTGTTTTCTTCTAAGCTACGTACGATTTTTATGCAGGATTAGAAGGCGGTAGTTACATCATTTCATTCGTCTTGGAAAATTTCGAATTAGGAGTAGAATTGGGTACCTACTATAGAAACATCTTGATATTTAATAGTAGGAAGTTGCTTGATCGAGATCAAATTTAGAATGGTGTTTTCGTCATCGATGTGAACCAACGAATTCTTATTAGATAGCAGACAATCGAATAGGTAGTAGCAGTACCTTCAATATATTTTTCTTCGTCTCCCCTTTTAATGTTAACGTTAATCGATTCGCTTTATTTAAATGATATAATTGTTTCAAATTTATTTGTTGATGTTTCTAAATTTTCTTTCAACATAGCTAATCTGCGATTCACGACAGAGAAAGATCTCAGCTAGAATTTTACCGGTTATTGTTTAATTGTGTGAACAAAATATTATCAAGCTAATGCTGGATCGGTTCCTCGTTGTTTTCTAGTTCTATTTATTTTGAGCCAAGTATCACTTTCCGCATTTGTTATGTAAATAACCAATACGTGTTTAATTAAGACTGTTAATAAGCATTCGTTGGTTCATATCGATGAGAAAAGGGCCGTTCCTATGCATTTGACCTTGATAACTATTATTAAATATCTGTATGTCTCTATAGTACCCAGTTCTTCTCCTGATTCGAATTCGTCTAATTTGAAGTCATGGATAAAGTTAATAATTTCACCTACGAGCGTGCAGAAAGTGGACTCTACCGCACTTATTTGTACTTTACCGTTCACTATGCGGTTTAAAGTTTAAGAGCAAAAAGTATCGAATTCCTCAGAATTGAGTTGAGGTCTATTGTCAGAAAGCACTTTTTCCAGTATGCCAAATTGGCAATACTCGTTCGCAATTCATGAATTTTTGCATTTGAGCTAGTGAAAAGTATATATGTATTTGAAGTTTGTTTACTTAGAAAAGGTATCAATTATTATTATTAAAAAATTCGGTTCTTGTCTCTACCGCAAAATCGATATGAATTTGCTAATAATAGCAATTATTGGATTTCTCACTACATTTCCAATCTTTATTTTTCCATATTCAAAGTAAACGGATTTGTCACCCGAAAAATGTTGATGGGAACGTAATACAGTTTGTCAGCAGTAACAATACCACAATACCATCTTGTTCATCCACACTCGATTCTTGAATAATATATACCTTCCTCCTCTTCTTGTTTTTCAACATACCTACCTTAAATGTATTCTCTTCATTTCACCTATTTGAAGTAAATAGGGGTTAGGTACACGAGAAGCGATAGTCGCAACACAAGCTCTGGTCCAAAACTGCTACGATCAGAGAAAGGATGTGTGCCTATGTTTCATAGATTACGAAAAGGCATTCGATCGCGTACAACACCACAAATTAAAGCAGCTCCTCAATAAGCTTGATATAGAGCAGAAAGACATTAGATGCATCGATAACCTATTGGGATTTCAAGATAAGCGATACTCTATCTGGCGGCAAATTATGGAACTAGTTTGTAGTACATTGCCGTTTGTTAATGTATTGTTTACCATTGTGTTTTTGTGAATATTTTTGAAGTGTTTTTGAATTTTTAAAGCGTGTTGGGGAACAGATTCCATGTGTGCTGAAAGACCTGCCAAAAGAAAAAGAAATCAAGATTCTAGTGAGAGCGGTGCAAGTAATGAATGTAGTGATACTTGTATTCAATTATTAAACTCTTTTGAGACAAACATACAAATGGACGAGCAAACAGCAGAAAGTGTCAAGTTTTTATTAAATTCTAATTACCAGTATTATAGGCAGGTTTGTGGTCAAGTTATTTGACTTTGTTAATTCAATATTTACCTATTTATAAATAAAAATAAAGAGTTATTTATGAAATATTTATTTATTTATTGCACATACATGTTATTCAAATACAGACATTATAAGGGACATCTGCCTTGACCCTTTTGGCTATGTCCTATAGTGGAAAATTTTAAGAAAAAGATCCGTTTAGGCTGTTGTATGGATATGACCATTTCGGGTCAGGTAGGCGCAATAGATTATATTGAATTTTGGCCTGCATCAGGAGCCATAAAGCCCATAAACACAAGACAAGCTAATGTAAATCATATGCAAATTAAGTTAAAAATAAAAGTGAGGTTATGAATCAATGTACTAGAAAGTAGTTGAGCTATTCGCCACCGCGGCGCTACAATCTTAATTTGAAATCCCAATACTGGAACCAAACAGCGCAAATCAAATTAGGCAATAACATGTCCGACACCCTACAGATTAGAAGATGGGTGCGACTGGGATGTGTGCTGTCTCCGCTGCTGTTCAACTTATATTCGGAAGCGATTTTCCAGGAGGCTTTGGGAGACATGGAAATGGGATTCTAAGTTAATGGAGTGGGGATTAACAATATACGTTATGCTGACGATACGGTCTTAATAGGAATGTTCACAAAATAAAAAAAATCCGTTTAACCATCATCAAATTATTAATCATCGTTTCATAAGTAAATCTACAAAATTTTACGAAAATCAGAAAATTCTTTCTATGAGAAAAACGGAGACGAAATATTGATATTCGTTTAAACGCACGAAACGCTGTCTGACGTCACAATGCGTAATGAGTTAGCACGCGCAAGTACAGTGGCGTTATACTAGCTACTTGGATCAGCCTCTTGTGACGTTGCTTTTGCGATTTTTGTTGGCAATAGAGAATATTGATATTAATATTATTGTTATTATTATTATGGTTCGGTTTTAATTTAACGGGAGAGTTTGTTTAACGTTTAACAAGTATTTTGATATTGCTGCTATCTCCTTCATGCGATCTCTGTGTTATAGGGTTTATCGAAATTAAGGTAGGTATGGCTAAAATGAAGGAAGGTTTTCAAAAGGCCGATTCACATAATCTGCCAACTGTGGACGTTATCTGCTATTTTTTTGTTTATTTCGTTATCTACTATGGTATCAGAATGTTTAGTCAAGTGTCGACTTGAATCAGCTCCAGTCCATTGGTGTAGAAGTAAAACAGACGTTATTAGATGTAGGTATAGTTGCATTTGAACAATGAATTATAGTTATTTACCTGTAACAAGGGCGGAAAGTTATACTTTCCCGCACGCAACGGCATTTGCACGAACGACGAGCCAGCGGAATTCGTGCAAGCCGCAAGTGCGGAAAACATACTTTATGCTCATGTCAGGCCCATTTTTTCTATGAGCGTGTGAAAAACGCGTCTTCACGCAACGATTTGCGTGGGGAAAGTAGCACATTTTCGCACCTCGTAGAAAAAAACACGCACGTAGATACCACTCTTTTCGACTCAGTTCAACTTTGTTTAAGTCTCCCATCATTACACAAACACAGATAATTAGAGTGAATGAAGCTTCTTGGGATAAAGCAACAGCAAAGACAACAGTCAGCAACACAATAAATCCAATGTAAACTTGTAAACAAATCTCGCCAACGCGCCAGCTGATTTTTCGCTCCGCACAGTGACGTCACAAGTGGTACTCTCGCCGCAGGGGATCGTTTTGCTAGCCTCGCTAATTTCGGTTTTTTTGTTTTCGATTTATCAGAAAAAATAAAGGGTTTCTAGATGTTTTAACGCTTAACACGTGTTTTGTGGACCTAAAACCTCCACTTTTTACTACAAATGAAAAATAGTGAACATCCCTATTGCATAGACGATCTACAACAACTAGTTAACAAGATAGGAGGTCGTAACATTTAACGCAAGGCCCATAGAGAGAGTAGATAAATTCAAGTACTTGGGCGTCTAGCTTTTCGAAGACTGGACATCAGACAAGGAAATAAAATGTAGCATCGAACAAGCTCGACAGGCACCCTTGAGGTTTCGAAGAGTGCTTACCTGTTCCGATTTTGATCTTAACCTAAGACTCAGATTCATTGAATGCTACGTTTGGTCAGTGCTTCTTTACGGTATGGAAGGTTGGACATTAAAGGTGAATGCAATTAACATAGAGGCTTTCGAGATGTGACTATATCGCAGAATCCTTAAAATCCCTTGGATGGCTAGACAACATGAACTGTTTGAATTGATTAAAAAGAGAACAACGGCATATCTGGGACATATAATGCGAAACACCAAATACCAAATTTTGCAACTGTTGATCGAAGGCAAGATCGAAGGCAAGATCGAAGGTCGGAGAGGGATCGGAAGAAAGAAATTGTCTTGGCTGCCAAATATCAGACAGTGGACAGGGATACATGATGTGCTGTCGTTAATACACACCGCAAGGAATAGAGAAGCAATGGAAAATGTTATCGCAAATATCCATTAGTGGATACGCATTGGTAGAAGAAGAAGAAGTAAATATCTTTTTTTTCACAGCGTTTGCATGAGTCCTAATATTCACATTTACCAGTAGGTATATACCTGTTTTTTTCCACAATACTTACAACTTTCCCGAGAGCTTCCTCATTATTTAGCTCCCTACAATTTCTAAATCCTCCCCCTTACCTAATTTCTTTTATACTCTAGTTCTCTTCTAGTGGAATTAACTTCTTTGGCTTGCGTTTCTTTGAACTATTTTTCTACTGAGAAACTCCTATTTTTGATTGAAATTTCTTTATGAATTTTTTCACTATTAATCTTACTATAAATCTGTATCCTAAAGTTTGTTGAAGAAAATTCCCAAATTTGCTATTCTTCTTAGCTGAATAGCATAGTCGTTTATAGATTCATTACCTTACATTTATTAATTCTACTACCTATATTTTATATAAAAAACAAGTATGGGTATGGGTATCTTTATTTAAAAGCAGAATACGCATAAGTTCGTATTACAATACGTGGATTTTATCACAAAAATCAAAGAGCTTACTAAAAAAATTTGAAATGAAAACAATATCAAAAGATTAGAAGCGACATATTTCGCACAGAAATTCGCCAGATCCTCGATACTGCGTGCAGTCCTGATGCCACCACCGAGTACAAGTATCGCACTGAATCCAAGGCGAATCACTCTCAATTTCACTGCATGAAGGGCACCAAATATGGTTAATATCGGAGGAAATTTTCATTTTTCCTTTTAATAGCTTTTTTTTAATTATTGCTTTCTCACTTTGCATTTCCGAATCAACTTTTTTGGTTTGTTCTAATGCCAAGAGTTCTTCCATCATGACAATCGCACTTTTAGGCTTAGGCGGCAACTGGATTACGGGTTCGATTTCGGCTTCTTCCTTATTACGCTCAATAACACTCGGCATTTCAATGGGCGAAATAACACAAGGAACTGGAACACCCTGAGTATTGCCGGGTTCTTGAACAGGCTCATCTATGCGCGTTCCTACAATAGACTGATTGAGTTGCTCTGGTACCTTTTCGTCCCTTTCCATGTTATTTTTTGATTAAAGGAGCACTTATTGAGACAAACTGAAAATAATTTGCAAAAGTATTGACAGTGACATCAGGTTTTGACAACTACACATTAACAATCGCGTTCCGTAATACAGACCTCCGAGTGAAAGAAAGTGTTGTCTGGCAGTCACATACATAGCATGAAACATTGTTTTTTTCTAAGCTACGTACGATTTTTATGCAGGATTAGAAGGCGGTAGTTACATCATTTCATTCGTCTTGGAAAAATTCAAATTAGGAGTAGAATTGGGTACCTACTATAGAAACATCTTGATATTTATTAGTAGGAACATAGAATAATATACGAACAAGAAGGATAATTGCATGTTAAAAATCGGGCCCCTCCGATGGATCCAGGCTTTCTGTCGCGCGATTCCATTTGACCCCTGAGTACGAAAACCTAGACCGTGTTGCCAATTGCAGCACATTGTCGTTGTGTTTCTACCTTTGTAATTTTATTTTTATTTTTATTTCTACTTAGATGAGGAAAATGTACAAGAATTACATTATTGGCTAATTACAAATTTTTTTACCAGGTCCAACAATTTTTATATCGAAAAATGTCATGAATTTGTCAAAATTCAGTTTTCATACTTTTTCACACATACCTCGCGATATCTCCGAAACCAATTGAGATAATTCCATTAATTTTTTTTTATTCTAAAGAGATTATGTTAACGAAAATCAGTAAGATAAATTTGTTTTTCTGAAAAACTCGCTTTATTCGTAAAACTAGGTAAAACTTCAACTTACACTTTTTATGCAGTATTTTTTTCAGTAAGCCAGAAACTTTTTTGTTTTAAGGATTTCTCCCATACTATCTGCGAATGAAACAAATCTCATGGAAATTTTTGAAAAAAAACACGATACTCCGCGATGCATAGTTTTCAAGATATCGTCACTTGAAGTTGAGAGTTTTATCGGTCGTGCACTACCTACTCCGGGTAGCTTCGCCACACTTAGCGCAGCGCGCGTCTTTAGTGTCATTTACATCCACTTAACTCAACGTACCTACGGAAAATTGATAATAAAGAAAAGTTGAAGATCATGTACTTATATGTAGTTGTTGACATCCACCTAAAAATTAAGAAAATTAACGTAACACACGGAAAAGTTGAACCAACTTTAACTTAAGGAAATCCGTACGTTAATTTCAATAGTAATTATGAATGACAGACAGATTGAACTTGTCTTTTATATTAATGTTATTGGTGATTACACGTAGGAAAATTAACTTCATTGTAAACAATGTAAACACAAACTTTCTCAGTTTCGAACGTTAATTATAATTTTTCGTACGTTAATAAGTTACGTTAAGTGGATGTAAATGACCGTAAAATTCCCCAATAATTCAAAAAAATGCATAGGGTATTTTTTTATAAGCCCTATGTATGAAAAAAAAAAACACCAAAATATACACATTAAATTTAAAATCTTCTAAATCATCATGCAAAATCACATCGTGTTCGGGAGTGCAAAAATAAGCAAACTGTTACGACAGTTTGGATATTCGCAATCACTCCAACATTTTAATCCTTACAAATTTCTTTTTCCAAATTTCCTACTACATATAGATATCATGTATTGATAAAAAAAAATATGCAGTTCTACTATATCCTAACTGTATAAATAGACTTTGGGGAATTGCTGGTATTGTGAAGTAAACATGAATAAGCAATAGGTATTAGGACATCGATATCAACAGATTTTACCAGAACTGTGTTAACTGATTTTAGTTCTGTTAGCACATAAGGTAATAATCTGGTATTAGCTTCTTCTTGAGTACTATCTAATTTTTCCAGATGAAACAAAGTTCAGAATCCTGGAATCCACCTGTTATTATGACTGTTTTGTTGATTCATTTATTAGGCTTTTTTTTCATGGTCGGCACACGGCACACACACAAAAAAAAGTCCTATATCAACGAGTGGAGTGTGTGTGGAGGTGTCGATGGACATTGGTCGCTGTAGGTTCTAGTTTTCGGGGAAGATGCGACTTTGAAGTGCATTCTAGAGCGAGGCGGCCCTCCAGAAAAATGAGTCTCGAAACAGCGATGTTCTAGGTATTTATAACTGAACTGTATGTTGATGAGCTGCTTGTGCCTGACGAGTGTTTCGGTTTGGTGCAACTTTAGGCGAAATCAGAAGTGCTAGCTCGTTCGAACACCTTCCGTAGTAGTATCGATAGTAAGTGATAGGTCCGCCACTTTTCACCGATGTTCAAGGCTTTGGAAGTTTTGGTCAACTCCGGGTCATCGATAAGACGAACTGCTCTCTTTTGTATCGAGTCCAACATCTTGAGCAAGTGTTTGGATACCGATCTCCATATATATTTCCAGTATTCCAAGGATGCTCTTATCTGGGCCTTATAAGAGTAGCAAAAGCTGAAATGGTATACAACTTTCTTATTCTATAAAAAGCCCCTAGCTTTTGTGCTGCTGTCTTGGCGATTTTTGTCACGTGATTACGCCAAGACAGGTTATTTTCCACGTTGATGTCCAATACGTTTATGGATGAGGCCAAGACCCAGTGTTGGTCCTGTCATTGTTATAGGTCGGATCCTGCAAGTTTTGCCTTTTTTGAGAAAATTGTTGCTTACGTCTTTCCTGCAACAATGATTGTTTATGCGCAATGTTGCTTTCCTTCTCCTAATGTTGTAGTTCTTAAATTGATACCATACTGATACCATCAATAAACAAGTCGTTAAAGTAGTGATAAATTACTCATTTTTTTTGCTTATTTCATTGAACCGCCATCATAAAATTAATACTTATTGTGAAAATTTATATGCATGGTGCATTTGCTCGAATAATTATGAAAATGCATCTACGCTCAAAAAACAGGTAGATCCAAGGAATTGCGTCGCGCCGCGAAGTATTGCGAAGCTACCCGGAGTAGTGAACGGCCGACGGCCGGTAAAACTCTCAACTTCAAGTGGCGATATCTTGGAAACTATGCATCGCGGAGTATCGCGAATTTTTTCAAAAACTTCCTTGATGTCTTAGCTTTGTTTCATTCGCGGATAGTATGGCAGGAATCCTTAAAACAAAAAAGTTTCTCGCTTACTGAAAAAAAAAAAACTGCATAAAAAGTCTAAGATAAAGTTTTACCTAGTTTCACGAATAAAGCGAGTTTTTCAGAAAAACAAAATTATCTTAGTGCTTTTCGTTAACGTATTCTCTTCAGAATAAAAAAAAATAATGGAATTATCTCAATTAGTTTCGGAGATATCGCGAGGTATGTGTGAAAAAGTATGAAAACCGAATTTTGACAAATCTTAGACATTTTTCGATATAAAAATTGTTGGAACTAGTAAAAAATTTTGTAATTAGCCATTTCAGATAGCCATGGACCATCATTTTGCAAAGGTTTCATGTAGTTATACCTTGAAAAAAAATATTGGCCATAATAATATGGCAACGTTGCTCTCAATATCTCCACGGAAAGCGAAATAAATTCGAAATAAATTTGGAGAGCAGCGCCGCCTATAGGTAAAGAACACTCCGTAAACTTTACGCTTCTATTCAACGTATATTATTCTATGGTAGGATTGGTAGGAAGTTGCTTGATCGAGATCAAATTTAGAATGGTATTTTTCTAAGTCATCGATGTGAACCAACGAATCCTTATTAGATAGCAGACAATCGAATAGGTAGTAGGTACGTATAATTACTAACTTTTTCTATGACAGTATACCTTCAATATATTTTTTTTCGTCTCCCCATTTAATGTTAACGTAAATCGATTCGCTTTATTCAAATGACACAATTGGTTTAAATTTATTTGTTGATGTTTCCAAATTTTCTTTTAACATAGCTAATCTGCGGTTCACGACAGAGAAGCATCTCAGCTAGAATTTTACCGGTTATTGTTTGATTGTTTGTGTGAACAAAATATTATCAAGCTAATGCTGGATCGGTTCCTCGTTGTTTTCTAGTTCATGTATTTTAAGCCAAGTATCACTTTCCGCATTTGTTATGTGAATAACCAATACGTGTTTTAAAGACTGTTAATAAGCATTCGTTGGTTCATATCGATGACTTAGAAAAACGTCTTTCCTATGCATTTGGCCTTGATCACTATTATTAAATATCTAGATGTCTCTATAGTACCCAGTTTTTCTCCTGATTCGAATTCGTCTAATTTGAAGTCATGGATAAAGTTAATAATTTTACCTACGAGCGTGCAGAAAGTGTACTTTACCGCACTTATTTGCACTTTACCGTTCACTATGCGGTTTAAAGTTTAAGAGCAAAAAGTATCGAATTCCTCAGAATTGAGTTGGTCTATTGTCAGGAAGCAATTTTTCCAGTATGCCAAAATTGGCAATACTCATTCGCAATTCAATAATTTTTGCATTTGAGTTAGTGGAAAGCATATATGTATTTGATGTCTGTTTGCTTAGAAAAGGTATCAATTATTATTATTAAAAAATTAGGTTCTTTTTTCTACCGCAAAATCAATATGAACTTGCTAATAATAGCAATTATTGGATTTCTCACTACATTTCCAATCTTTATTTTTCCAGATTCAAAGTAAACGGATTTGTCACCTGAAAAATGTTGATGGGAACGTAATACAGTTTGTCAGCATTAACAATACCATACAATACCATCTTGTTCATCCTCACTCGATTCTTGAATAATATGTACCTTCCTTCTGTTCTTGTTTTTCAACATAGGTACCTTAAATGTATTCTCTTCATTTTACCTACTTGAAGTAAATAGGGCTTAGGTACATGAGAAGCGATAGTCGCAACACAAGGGCTAGTCCAAAACTGCTACGATCAGAGAGAGGATGTGTGCCTATGTTTCATAGATTACGAAAAGGCATTCGATCGCGTACAACACCACAAATTATTGGAGCTCCTCAATAAGCTTGATATAGACCAGGGGTGCGATTTTCGAAACCATTCGAGTACATTCCGTACACGAAATATGACTGACAGCAATGTAAATTAAATGGGGAGCATTCGAAATCGTTTCAAATTTCGTATACGAAAATATTCGAAAATCGGATCCCAGAAAGACATTAGATGCATCGAAGACCTATATTGGAACCAAACAGCGCAAATCAAATTAGGCAATAATATGTCCAACATCATACAGATTAGAAAAGGGGTGCGACTGGGATGTGTGCTGTCTCCGCTCCTGTTCAACTTATATTCGGAAGCGATTTTCCAGGAGGCTTTGGCCAGACGTGGAATTGGGATTCAAAGATAATGGATTGTGGATTAACAATATCCGCTATGCTGACGATACGGCCTTAATTGCCGATAACATACACGACCTACAACAACTAGTTAACAAGGTAGGAGAACAGAGCAAATCAATGGGCTTGAATATCAACACCAAAAAAACAAAGTTTGTGATTATTTCTAGAAACCCAAATATGTTTGAAAACTCCACCATGACATTTAACCAGGGCCGGATTAAGGAGGGGGCTTTGGGGGCTAAAGCCCCGGGCACCGAAATGAGGGGGGCCCCAAAACACCACCTCACGCGGGGAAGAAATCATGCATATAATTTACACCAAACAAAACCGTCGTTTTTAAAATTCGAAGCCCACACACTTCAGGTTTGTTGACATTTCGAACATAAAATCAGGTGAAGCCAGATATTTGCATCGGTTTTTTATGCCAGCAAAAACGACAATTTTTCGCACACACACTTCGGTTTTGTGTCGTTTTTGTTCGATCAGATTTGCACGTACAACAGAACTGTCCAACAAAAACGCAGTATGTGGGCCCCTTTACAATTTGAGAGCGTTAACCACCAGTAATTCTGTAATCATAACTTTTTGGCGTTAATATGCATAATTAATATCAAAAATATTTATACGAGAAAGTTGTGAGAACTACTATATCTAGCTGATTACATGGCAATAAATTTTATTTGCCAATTTTTTAATTTTTATTTTGATTTAAAAAACAAATTTTAGAAATGTTACTAAGTACGGTGATAGTGGTGGATAATTCAGAAATATTTATTCAAGAAAAAAAAATTCCAAATCAAACAGTTTGTCCAAAATTACATTTTTTTAATCTGAAAGGTAAAATTTTGATTGACGTTTGAATTTAATTCAGGGACCTAGGGGCCCCTTTTGTGAAAATAGTCCCGGGCCCCAAAAGACCTTAATCCGACCCTGCATTTAACGCAAGACCCATAGAGTAGATTTATTCTGGTAATACTTGGGCGTCTGGCTTTTCGAAGACTGAACATCAGACAAGGAATCAAGTAAATAAATACAATGTCGCATCGAACAAGCTCGACAGGCATTCTTGAGGTTTCGAAGAGTGCTTACCTGTTTCGATTTTGACCTTAACCTAAGACTCAGATTCATTAAATGCTAAGTTTGGTCAGTGCTTCTTTACAGTATGGAAGGTTGGACATTGAAGGTGACTGCAATTAACAAATTAGAGGCTTTCGAGATGTGGCTATATCGCAGAATCCTTAAGATAACTTCGACGGCTAGACTAACAAACGAAGAAGTTCTAAGACATGTCAACAAACAACGTGAATTGATTAAAAAGAGAAAAACGGCATATCTGGGTCATATAATGCGAAACACGAAATACCAATTGTTGCACCTGTTGATCGAAGGCAAAATCGAAGGCCGGAGAGGAATCGGAAGAAAGAAAATGTCTTGGCTGCCAAATATCAGACAGTGGACAGGCCTACATGATGTGCTGTCGTTAATGCACACCGCAAGGAATAGAGAAGCAATGGAAACTGTTATCGTAAATATCCATTAGTGGATACGCATTGGAAGAAGAACAAGAAGTAAATATCCTTTTTTTTCACAGCGTTTACATGAGTCCTAATATTTACATTTACCAGTAGGTATATACCTGTTTTTTTCCACAATACTTACAACTTTCCCGAGAGCTTCCTCATTATTGAGCTCGCTACAATTTCCAAATCTTCCATACCCTTAATTTCTTTTGTACTCTGGTTCTTTTCTAGTGCAATTAACTTCTTTGGCTTGCATTTTTTTGAACTATTTTTCTACTGAGAAACTCCTATTTTTGATTGAAATTTCTCTATGAATTTTTTCACCTATTAATTCTACTATAAATCTGTATCCCAAAGTTTGTTGAAGAAAATTCCCAAATTTGCTAGATATTGCTATTCTTATTAGTCGTTTATAGATTCATTACCTTTTTGATCCCGTTTGAAAACTGCAATCTCTCAAATATTTCTAACTTTGCAAGTCGGAAGTAAGCTGACAACAGTTTCTCGATTTTGTAAAAAGTAAGATTTTTCAGGTTCTATAAGCATAGAAAGATTATTCAAAATATTATAGTTCTTAGAACCCAAGTAAATTCCAACCTAGCCTCAAAAAGTGGATATGGCAGCTCAATGGAGAAGATAGGAAAAAAAAATATCGCCTTTACTGCTGGAAACGGCCTATATCACTTTAATGCCGTTGAGATAATATAATGCACCTCCCACATTTGAAAAACTGATGGAATGAATTCTCCAAGGACTCGCTTGGGAGACATGCTTGGAATAGGTACTTGGATTATGTCATCGTGATAGGCAAATGTTTCGACTAACCTTTGTCGCACTTAAAGAGAGTTTTCGCCAGGATTAGTAGTGCCAACCTACATAATAAACAATAAAAAACAATTTCTTTTTGGTAAAAAATGCCGTTTAATAATTCTATTACCTATATTATATATAAAAAACAAGTATGGATATGGGTATCTTTATTCAAAAGCAGAAAACGCATAAGTTTGTATCACAATACGTGGCTTTTATCACAAAAATAAAAGAAATTACTACAAAAATTCGAAATAAAAACAATATCCAAAGATTAGAACCGACATATTTCGCACAGAAATTCGCCAGATCCTCGATACTGGGTGCAGTCCTTATGCCACCACCGAGTACAAGTATCGCACTGAATCCAAGGCGAATCACTCTCAATTTCACTGCATGAAGGGCACCAAATATGGTTAATATCGGAGGAAATTTTCATTTTCCCTTTTAATAGCCTTCTTTTAATTAATGCTTTCTCACTTTGCATTTCCGAATCAACTTTTTTGGTTTGTTCTAATGCCATGAGTTCTGCCATCATGACAATCGCACTTTTAGGTTTAGGCGGCAACTGGATTACGGGTTCGGTTTGTTCCTTATTACGCTGAATACCGCTCGGCCCCGCAATAGGAGAAGTATCTCTTACTATTGCGGGAAAAGTATCGCTTACTATGGCACGATGTGGGCGGGGGCGGTAAACAATTTGTCGGTACCGGCGGATTGGTCCTGCAATGGTCCTGGTGTGGCGTTTTGCACTTTGGGGTCTTGCATTTTGGGGTCTTGCACTTTGAGTTCCTGCAGTTTGAGGTCTTGCAATACGCTCAATAACAATCGGCATTTCAATGGGCGAAATAACACATGGAACTGGAACACCCTGAGTACTGCCGGGTTCTTGGACAGGCTCATCTAATGACTGATTGAGTTGCTCTGGTACCTTTTCGTCCCCTTCCATGTTATTCTTAGATTAACGGAGCACTTATTGAGACAAACTGAAAATAATTTGCAAAAGTATTGACAGTGACGTCAGGCTTTGACAATTACACATTAACAATCGCGTTCCGTAATACGGACCTCCGGGTACAAGAAAGTGTTGCCTGGCATTCTCATACATAGCATGAAACATTGTTTTTTTCTAAGCTACGTACGATTTTTATGCAGGATTAAAAGGCGGTAGTTACACCATTTCATTCGTCTTGGAAAAATTCGAATTAGAAGTAGAATTAGGTACCTACTATAGAAGCATCTTGATATTTAATAGTAGGTAGTTGCTTGATCGAGATCAAATTTAGAATGGTGCTTTTCTAAGTCATCGATGTGAACCAACGAATCCTTATTAGATAGCAGACAATCGAATAGGTAGAAGGTACGTATAATTACTATCTTTATCTATGACAGTACCTTCAATATATTATTCTCCGTCTCCCCTTTTAATGTTAACGTAAATCGATTCGCTTTATTTAAATGACATAATGGGTTTAAATTTATTTGTTGATGTATCCAAATTTTCTTTTAAAATAGCTAATGTGCGGTTCACGATAGAGAAGCATTACAGCTAGAATTTTACCGGTTATTTTTTAATTGTTTGTATGAACAAAATATTATCAAGCTAATGCTGGATCGGTTCCTCGTTGTTTTCTAGTTCTATTTATTTTAAGCCAAGTATCACTTTCCGCGTTTGATATGAAAATAACCAATACGTGTTTAATGAAGACTGTTAATAAGCATTCGTTGGTTCATATCGATGACTTAGAAAAGCGCATTTCCTATGCATTTGACCTTGATAACTATTATTAAATATCTAGATGTCTCTAGAGTACCCAGTTCTTCTCCTTATTCGAATTCGTCTAAAGCCCGGGACACATTTATCATACATTCTTCCGATCCGGCTCCGATCATACAATCAGGGTCCTCATTCTTGGAACAGAGAGCAGTGTTCCCAGGCGTTCTCCTGGGAACGCTGCTCGACTATTCCAACAATAAGGACCTTGATTGTATGATCGGAGTCGGATCGGAAGAATGTATGATAGTTGTGTCCCGGCCTTTAGACGTGTGAATCAATTACTCATGTTGGAGGTGTCAGTTGCACTGCGACCAAGGATGATCTATTGTATTCCTCCTTCTGTTCTGCTAATTACTGATAAACACAGCAGTTTTCTTTCTTGAGATCTGATCTGAACTCTGACTTATCTCAACATGGTGATTGTAACGCACAATCTTCCGATATTACTGGTGGAAATTCACAGACTAAACAAATTCAGGGAAAGTAGAATGCAGTCTCTTAAACAGTTCTTCAAGATGCAGCATTCAGGCGTTCCAGTCGCATTGGTAAACCACCAATAAAATTAGACTTGTAATTAGACTAGTTCTAGAGCTTACTATCTTGTGTAACAAGAAAAATTAGGTGTTAAGTTACTAGTATTTTAAGTTAGGCTCTGTGTATTTGAATAAGGCTAGAAGAAAGGAGTGTAGTGGCAAAAATTGATAATTTTTCACGATTCACGAAAGAAATATCAAAAAGTGTAGAATTTTGATTTGCTCTGACACTAAAATAAAACTTTTAAATCTCTTCCGCCATGCTGGCCAAGCAGCTGTTGAAGAAAGGCCAAATTTTTCTGGTGGACTGACATTTATTGGGGTCACTATTCTAAAGTTATTATATATACTTTCCCACTACCTTCGAATGATGCTGGTACGGATACTAGAGGATCTTCATAGTCTGATGAGGACATTATAATTGATAATGAGTTGGAATCTCGATTGTAGCACTTATTTTCTCTTGTGATTTCGACGGTTTTTTTTTTTGCCAATCTGTTGAAGCTTACCACAGAAAAGTGAGTGATGCAAGAATATTAACTTTATTACTGGTTTTGATAGTCCACAGAGTGATTTTTCTATAAAGAACATTCCATTGTGTTCTACTTGGAAATTTGACTTTCCCGCAGAACTCTAGATTTAAAAAAATCAAGTTAAGAGTTTCAAAGTTTCAAGGCAGTGTATTCTATGGTAAATACACGACAGTAAATAACCAGAATGGAGCAAGTCAATCAAATATTGGTGGATTTCATAAGACCGAAGACTAAAAGAAAAACAAGAAGAGTAAGTCCGAAGACAACAAGAACAGGACCTGCTCCAGGATAATTACAAATTCCAGCGAGCATGGATCCAAACCATAATCTCTGAGGAACAAACCAAAGAGAACTCGAGAAATTCCTGGAAGGGTAAGATAATAAATTCAAGAATGAAATCGAAGAAGTAGGCTACGTGACGAATTTGGTAGTATTCGTCAGCAAGTTGGGATTGCTCATCCGTCATAAAGTTGGAACGTTCCGCCGAGAAATGGATAATGTTCAGAAAAAATATAAAAAAATTCAATGTGACTCGAGATCAGGAAATGTCTCAGCTATGCCTGCATCTGGTATCAAAGTTAAGCCACCACCATACGATGGTCAGACATCATGGGCAATGCACAGACGTCATTTCGAGACTGTTGCAATGGCTAAGGGTTGGAGCTCCGATGACAAGGCTACAGGCTTGATTGTAGCATTACGTGACCCTTCATTAGAAACTCTGAGGTCTCCTTCCCAACAAAACTAAGGCGCCCTTGTGGATGCGTTGGGGTATCGTTATGGGGATCACCCTTAAATGGGGGAACAATTACCAGCCGAAAACTTCATGAATAGAGCTAGAGATACGGACGTTCAGAGAATGCTGCTCATCAATAAACCATCAAGTAGCAGCAAAGTTTCAATCTCGGTACTAAAGGTGGAAGCGACACATTAGATCTGGATGTCCAAAAAATGCTGCTCATAAACAAACCACCAAGTAGCGGCGAAGCTCTAATCACAGTCCAAGAAATTGAAGCCGCCAATAGGATATCGAAACCAAAGCACAAAGCTGTGATAATACGAAAAGAAAAAGGGCGAATGGAAGAAAGACATAGAAGGAATTTGTGGAATGAAAGATACGCAATCAAGGGAACTTGAAAACCCCTAGTGGGGAACTAGGAAAACTACATAGGTAAGTCAACATAGTGGCGCAGGTGTTGGCTAGTGGAGCCCCCAGAAATATATCTATCAAAATGCTAGGACCTTTTTAGTATTGAGGGAAGCATTAATGGGAAAAATATCACCATAACAGTGGACCCAGACGCAGCAGTATCTCTAATTAAGTGTAACGTTGCCAAAAAGTTTAATGCGGAGCCACTTTCAAGAAAAGTTATTCTGCGCATAGTGACTGGAGAGACCGCAAATAAACATAGAGATATAGAAGGTCAGCACAATATCCTGAAATTTGATACTGAAGAGTTTGTACTGTCCAATCCTAAAGATCCAATGTCCGTCACTGCTACACACACTGTGAAAATAGATGGCAATACCAAACGAATTCTATGTGGGCAGTTGGAAAATAATTCTGGGAGCTGCGTTGGACTTACAGCTGCAGCAAACTCACAATAAGTACCTTGGTGAACTCGCAAGGAATCATACCAGTCCTAGCAAACCCTTGCCACTTTGTCACAATAGTATTCAAATCAACAAGGGCGATCTCTGAGTCTGCCAACGGGATTTCAGAGTGTGAAGCTGAAGAACATCAAGGAGAAAACTGAAATAAATCGTCCAGCGACATTCTAAGACCATCGAAGACATCTTGGCAACATGGTTCCTCTTCGGAATTGAAGAAAGCTCCACAGTTTGTGAGGACAAGGCTATCTTTAAGGGTGAAAATTGCGAGACTGGTATATGAACATCATCACGCATGAAATCAATACTGGCAGTACTCATCCAATGCGTCAACCACCTAGCAAATTTCCCATGACCGAACAATAAGAAGTGGCGTGGCTAGTAGACAGTATGCTTGCGAGGGAGATGTTGAATATTCTTCAAGTCCGTGATCATCGCCAATTAGTACTAGTAACAAAAAAAAAACAGATCTATCATATTTTGCGTCGATAACAGAATTCTTAACTTATTAGTTAGGACAAAGAATAAAAGGCCTGTTAAGTCTTTGCCAACGTTTCGCCCAAAAGTTTAGGGCTCTTTGGTTTACCCCAAAGACAAAACCGCTATTTGTGATAGTTCTAACTTAGTTTATAGGATTGACTGTATTCATTGTGATAGACTGTAGGTACATAGGGGAGACTAAGCAAAAGCTCTCAAAAATATTATAACAGCATCAATATGATTGTCGAATTATTAACATTGATAAAAAAGAAAAAACGGCATTGGCGACTCATCATTTTGAGAGTGACCATCATTTTGCTTCCAACAATCCGTCAGTGTGTATATACAGGGTGACTGGTAAGTGGACGTATTCCTTTGAGGAGGTGAAAGTAGAGCCCATTTGCTACCGATTAAACATCATTTACCTCTATACCATTCTCAACGGTTTTTGAGATATTTTTTATTTTTATATTTAAGAAATTCACTTTTTTGGGAGGTAAATATTTAAAATTAACGAAATAATAAGGAACATACCTTATTTAGGTAAATGTTAACACCAATATTTGATAACATTTCTATTGTAACACGTGGTATTAAAAACAAATCGAGTAATTTTTTCTTCATATTGGTTACTCTTACAAATAAAACTTATTTATTTAATAATAAAACAAAAGACTAATTCTGAAATAATGTGCCTTATTCTGAAGACACTTATATCGAGAACTTTTATTAATAATTTGTACGTTTGATGTACTATGAAATTTTCGAAATTTTTAAGCATAAAGTAACCACTAGTTTGTAACTTGACAAGGAAAGTTAAGTTTAAACCGAAATAATTTAATAGTTTATGTTATTGTTTCAATAATTTTCAATGCTAATATTTGTGTAAGTGTGTCAGCTTATAATTTAAAAAGCGACATCTAAAATGGCTTTTATTATTTTCCTTAATTTTAAATATTTACCGGGCAAAGGAGCGAATTTCTTGGAAATTAAAAAAAGAATAAATATCTCAAAA